GATGATGATGAGAGATTTTTGGATTATAGGTCGGTAGATGTAAATAAATGTTGTAAGACCTATATTGTACTGTTTATGCTTTTGGTCTGCATCGATGTCGACATCCTGAGTTTTGTAATGAAATGAAAAAAATACATTTCTTTAAGAAAATTTTTGATAAAATTTTATCATATTTTGTTTTGGGGACAAATTCCGCACAACTTTTTGAAAGATTGCTCTAATTTTATTTTAAAAGCATAAACAAAATCGGTATTTTTTGACCGTGAAAATGGGGATGTCACATTTTTAACACATGCTTTTTTTCGTTATTAATAGTTGATATTTTATTCTTTGTGGATGTCAGATGATTTTTTTGTGTGCTTTTAGATGTATATGTTGACATGTATTGGAGAAGGAATCGTGAAGAGAATGAATTATGCAGAAAAGGTGTTTGATGAAATGTTTGATTGAAATGAATAATACCTGGTAGAGAAGGAAAATGGAGAATAAAAGAAAAGCAAGGAAGGTTTTCAATTTCATTCCAATTCCATGTTTAGTTGTAAATAAATTGAGTGAATTCTGTTCACTGTAACAACTTATTTGGCCTTTAATGTGTTTATAGTTGAGTATTAGGAATCTTCAATTGATTTCCTATTATGTGTTGATTTGATTAATTTGTTGTGTTGGAATTTGAGGTGTATGGGAGATAAAAGAGGATGGGGGAGGTACACTCCACTTTATATAGTGCCTCCATACAACTCTAACACTTCTAATGATGCTTCTTATTTCATTTGTCATTATTGGAATATTAGCTCTTTTCTCTTCCTTACGTTACACTAAGTTCTCCATCAGTTCTGAATCAAAATTTTCCATGTTCACAGAATGTTGAATTATGCATCTATATATTACCTCTCACTCTAAAAATTTTGTTCATCTTTTGTTCCTATGTTGCAGGCCACGAAGGAATTGGGCTTGATTTAGTTTCTATCATTGGATGTTTAAAAATTGGGTTGGACTCTCTGGTTGGATCATAATGTCAGCTCGGGTTCACCCTCAACGTTCATTAATATTTGGTTTTTCTAGTTTTTGTTGTTTCCGAGTTCAAACTCATATGAGTTTAAAATTACACTTGTCCATTTATATTTAGGTAAAGAAGAACAACAATTGGATGTTAATTTCATAAGCGAAAGGTATTCCATCGGTGAAGTTTTCTTACATTATCTTTTTTTTTTTTTTCATAAAATATTTTCTCTATTTGAGTAATCTACAGAAAGTTGTGGTTATGATTTATCAGATTTAGCACACAAAAACCCTCATATGCGACAAGTACTTTAGTCGTCAAATTTTTTTATTGATATTTAAGCAAAGCTTTGTTTTTTTCTACAATAATTTAAAACATTGTGATTCTCATTTTCATCATGGAGGCTTATCTAAATAGAAATGTAAGCACTTAGGCTTTGCTAACTTGGCTCATTTAGATTTGACAAGTGTAAATTTTATTATTTACATTTGAGATATAAAACTTTTTATTTATCAATGTGGAAGTGCAATTCTGATTCCTTATTTTGAAAGGCAAAGTGTGTATAAATGTGAAAGGAGAAGTGATAGGGCAACAATGATGTATTGAGGCTTGCTGTGGGCTTGAACATGATACATCCATGGAATATGAAGCTTGTTGTGGTTCTGAAGGATGAAAATTATGTGAATTTTGATCCTCAGCTTCAATTCCCCAACAAAAAAGGTACCACTCTTGCTTTTCTTGCTATATTCTTCATCATGCACCTTCCAATTTCCACTATATATAATAAAAATAGTTTTGAAGTGCAATCGTTGATGTTTTTGTGCAATTTTAGAATCTCTTTTGTTTGAATTGCTGAAACACCAAAGGATTGCATTTGTTGGGCTTAGCATACATATGTGTTTAACCGATGTAGTAGTTTGTGTAATTGTGTATTACTAAATCTTTTTTTTTTTTTCACATTTACAGACTGCTAAATTTATTGATTATGATACTAATTTCAAAGAAGATGAGAAAAAACAAGCAAAAGCATTGAAGACTACTCGCAACCTTAATAATGCAACATGCCAGTTGAAACTCAAGGATTACAAATAGGTTGAAAAGCTTTGCACTAAGGTTAGATACAATTAATTAATCCTTAGTCACTGTTTGTTTGTTTCTTTTTCTTTTGTCTTTTGGTAATAAAAAGTTTTTAATAAGGGTCTGGCAACATGATTTGTACAGGTGTTGGAACTTGAGAGTACAAATGTAATGACTTTATACGGAAGAGCTCAAGCATGCAAAAATGTAGCTGATCAAGATCTTACAGAGATTGCTTTAAAAAAAACCCTTGAAATTGACCCTAATAACAGATAGGATTTTTTTTTTTTACACTTGGTGATTTATTTAAAGCTTATAGTACAATCAAGGTTGTAGAACTCGTTACTCGGTACCGGTTCGACCGACTACTGAGTAGTGTGTGACAACCCGAAGTTTGTCCATCGCCGTAACCCATTCCGTCCATAAAAATTTGTCTCTTTCGAATTGATTCCGTTTAAGTTTTAAATTAAGTCATTATTTTTGAGATTTATATTATGACTTAATGGATGTATAAACATGTTTAAAACTCGTTTTAACACTCCATATTAGTAATCGGAAACATTTTAGTTTCAACCATATCGGGTTACGACATCTTAATCGGGTGCGACCAAAAGCTCCGTTTAACGTCGGTATCGGGTAGAATTCCACCGTGTCCCGAACTTAGGACCCATTTAAAGGAGATTAAGCTTCCATTTGAAGCTTTTTCCCCCTCTCACTACTCTCTCTCTAACCTCTCTCCTCAAACCAAAGAAACTAGGTCCAAAACATCAAATTAAGGCTTCAAATCTTCAAGGTAACTTCCCTAACTTGTTATTCAACCTCTTTAGCCTTCAAATCCGAGTTTAAACATTGATTTAGGACCATCTTCATGAGTTTACGGCCCTGGAGCATGCTTGGGCCGTAAACTCAAATAGATTGGGTTTTTGAGCCTCAAAACCCCTCCAAACCAACTTTAGGACTTAGATATGACTTTATGGCTTACCAATTCGGACTTAGAACACCTTAAACATGATTTTTGAGGAGTAAACATGAGTTTACTACCCAAGAACATACTTGGGCCGTAAACTCATCATTTTTGAAGAGTAAACTCAAAAACAAGTGTTTAAAAGCCATTTAAACACACCATTAGCCTTGGAATAAATCCTAGAACCAATCACAATAGATTTGAGGACCTTAAACACAATAAAAACCCTCCATTTGAGAGTTTACGGCCATGACCCCCCAAGGATAGGTTCCAGGGCCGTAAAATCACCTAAGCTAGTCAAATGGTGCCCAAAATTCATCCCAATTCTCTAAACTTTTAAGGAATTGACGGGGAACTATGTTCCAGATTTTCACGAAACATTTGTTTCAGTACTTAAATTCGAAACTCCAAATCATATTCATTTCGTATGAGTGTTCTTGATCAAATATTCGAAACCCACGATGTTTGTTACCCAACAAGATCCAACACAGACTTTTCCATGAATATGATTTCCATGTGAGTTTCATTCGAAATCCAAAGTCACTTAAAATTATTTTGTCAAAGCAAACTTGTCACTGACTACACTCGTCAAACAAGTAATTTCCATTACAATTTCTCACCTTATGTTTAGGTTGATATGTAATGAAATTCTTATAGCTACCCATACAGCCTAATAAAAGAAACCCTTCGATACTTCTTTACAAGTATTCGATTGTATATCACGGGAAAATACACAAGCAGTTGATCATCTCTCTTGATGATTAATGAAATAACCTTTTCCTGGGGTTTATACTACTTTTGTGTCGAAAAATTGATCGACATCACTGACTTCCAAAATTTTCTTATTTTTGCTTCTCATCTATTTTTTTGGAACACTACACTCATGAAATCCTTGAGGTTCTGAGTAACACCAACTCAGGCTGATGATTTCGAACATCTGGCAAATGACTTTACTTTAAAACCCAAAAGTGAAAGAGCCTTACTTCCATTCGAAGGGTTCTGACAGCTACAATTCTATTGGGGCAAACAAAACAGTTTGTTTTACGGTGACGTATGGTATTCGGTCTGGGTTTCAAACTACAGGGTTACATATAAAAGGGGATTCAAGGGTTTGTTATCGGTTTACGCTTTTTGAAGAAAAATTCCCAAAATTCTCTCTGAAAAATTCAACTATTCTTCACAAGATTTTACAACCCTGATCATGGCTACTCAAACTAATGTTCCATCTCAAACAACTGAAGATGTTACTTCACAACCAATCAAGAAGATTTAAGGAACTATCTACCAAGTAGAGGCTAATGTTTCTACTTATCCGGAAGAACTCAAGATGTTGATTATCGCTTTACAAAGTTCTGTTCTATCCAAAGCTATGTTTCAATCTTTTGTTGTTCCTCTTTCCTGGTTATCCAAAGCTATGTTTCAATCTTTTGTTTTTTCAACTTGGTATACGATAAGAAGGTTAGACTATCCAAGAGGCTATTTTGTAAAATACTGGAAATCCCAAATTCTCCACCCTACACTGATCTTCAATTTCCCCAAATCGTACACATGTTCAACCAGATGGTTCATCAACCACAACTTACTAAGATCAGTGATTTCAAGAAATCTGGTCTTCCAAGCATTTGTAACTTTCTCTTTGGAATTTTTCTAATATGTTTGATTGGTCGAATTGGTGGACTCCACAAAGGATGGATGGAAGTATATGCCATGGTTGTTGGGCTATACTACGATATTCATGTGGAGTATACTACACAACTTTGGAAGGAATTCCAAAAGAGTGTTGAGAACACGAATGCAATTCAAGGCATTTCATGTGCAAGGTATTGGAGTTTGATTTTTCAACACTTTTATGAGAAGGAAGGGATTTTGGTGAATGCTGAATTTTGTACATATCATTATCCGAAGAATATGACTGATGATGCAGATGGGTTTCCATTTTTTGCTCGTATTCCAGATGCTATGTTGAGGCGTGTTGATCCTACGAATGTTGTTTTGGTGGCGTATTTGAAAAACATTGATCCTACTGTTCAAACGGGGATATTGTTGCCAAGGGAAGAGAAGACGTTTAAACGTTCGAAGAAGAATGAACCTGGTTCTTCTGAAAAGCTTGTATCTGAAACCACGTCAAAGAAGTCTCCAAAGAAGAAGCCTAGTGAAGTTAAAGTGGTAAAAGAAGTATTTGTTGATGTGTCTATTCCGATTGAGCCTGTTGTTGATGATACTCAAGAGAAAGTGGTTAGTCCTTTGAAGAAGGGTGTTTTTAGAAGAATAAAAATGAAGTCTAAGCATACACGACAGTCTCCAACTCGTAATGTGGTATGAAAGCCTCATCTTACTCATCAGGGTGTAGTTTTTCGTGAAATACTAGCTCCGGTTTCTCCATTGTCTAAGAAATGCATGGCTGAAGATATGGCCAAACAAATTTCTAAAAGGGAGAAGAAGAAGATACAAAAGATTGTTATTACAACCACATCTACAGAAGATGAAGATGAATAAATTCCTAAAACACCTGAAGCAAATCTTAACAAGGAAAGTTCCATTCCTGAGCAGACAATGGTCATACCACCCGAAGATTTGTCTGCCAAATCATCTCATGAGGAGGCACGAACTTCAAACATCAATGCAAACATATCTCATACGGATGTAAATGTCATCATAAGTGAAGAAGATGTGAAGACAAAAGCTCAAGGTAATCCTATTGTTTCATTACCTCTACAAATCACACCGATTACTTCAACCACAGACTCACCCGCATTCAAAAATATTATCAATCAACCCTTTACTTCCATTTTTTCTTCTCAATCTACTGATCCACCCAAAACCAATTCCCCTGCTACAGACTCAATTTTTATGGAAACTGATACTAACAATGAGGGTTTTGGAGGAACCTTTGAGGACTTGGAGTTTGATAACAAAGAAGAAGATTTTCCAGATCATATGTTGATGGCGATGAAACAGTTTAAGATTTTGAATACGAATTTGAACTCCATACTTCAATCTCAAGATGATCTGGGGGGTGGTTCATCGGTTTCAGGTTTGGAAGTTGATTCAATGTTAATAATGTTCGAAGCAAAGATGGTGAGTAAAGTCTCTGGGATGGTTAGAGACTCAGAATCAAGAATTTTGGAGAAAGTTGATCATAATGATCAAAAAAATGAGCTAAGGGTGAATTCTCAAAATTCGACATTTTTGGGAGAAGTTAAAGATTTGAAGAAACTGGCGAACGACCGAAACATTTTGTTCGTTCAAGATGTCAAGAAAGTCCATGAAGATCTCAACTTGTAGATTCGTGAGCTTCGCGAAGATATGCAAAGAGAGATTGTAAGTGTCCAACAGGATTATGCATCTTTCAATCAGAAGATTGACATTATTTGTGATGCTATCACAAGATTTTTCAAGTTGTACGAAAGCATGAGTCCACCAACTTACTCAGCTTTCTACAACGAAAAGTAATTTTTTTTGGAAGTGATTAATTTGTTGAAGGAGCTCAAAGTGTTATCTGTCAAGTCGGTTTCATCTTCTCTAATAACTCCTAAATTTTTGTCTCAAAAATTCGCACAATTTGAAGCTATTTTACACAAGCAATTGGCCCCTCTTTGCCGAATTTCGAGCCTTCTACCAACAACAGTTTCCCCACCTGTTTCCACAGGGGTACAAAATGAGAAAGAAAGGTGGAAGATGCGAAGGCTACTGGTGAAGCTTTGCATACAGATGCAAAAGTTGTGGGAAAGGTGTTTTCTACGAAGATTCCAACAACAAAGCCGATAATATCATCTGCTGGGCCAGTTATTTCAACAATGGTTACTACAATGTCAATTCCAAGGCCTATTACAAAAGGAGTTGTTATTGGTGAAGCTGTTGGTGGGAGCAATAAGAAGCCAAATGTGACAGATGATGCTTCGAAAGATAAAGGAAAAACCATTGTTGTGGAAAAGTCAAAGGAGGAAAATAAAGTTGAAGTTGAAGCAGAACTTGAAAAACTGAGGTTGGTCCAAAGCATAATGACTCAGCGTTCAAGTGATCCTCCAGGTTTGGATAAAGGTGATTCATCCAAACATTACAATTATGAAAAAAATCGAAGCCAAGGTTTCATATAATCATATGTATTAGTTCGAAAAGAAACCGAAATAGAGTTATGTTGTAACGAATACTGATGCACGCCATCTAGACTTTCCAATGAATGAGATGATGTTTATCATGCCTCAATTCAAAGCAGAAGGAAATTTCAAAGTAAAATATGAAGGTACTCACATGAACATTCAATTTCATGTTGTTCTTGCCAAATCTGATGTGGAAGTCTAGTCGTTGGTGAAGATTAAGAAGGTCATTAGTATAAAGAAGGATGTGGTATTTGAAAACACAGTCCAAAATATCAAGTATGTTGTGGCCAGGGCAAATGGAAATATTTGTGATTTCACAATTGCAGATTTTCCATTAGTGAACCTATATGATCTTATACAAGTTGCATTGATTTTGAAAGATAAATCTTTTTCATATCTTCAAAATACTGAACCTGATGAATTCAAGCTTGGGGTTGCTCACATCAAGATTTTCATTGAGAATTATTACGAGTTCTTGGCACTAACTGATGTTGAATTAGCAAAAACTAAAGGTTTGGAAATAAAAGCTCCTATGTCACCTACGAAGACCCAAACTGATATGAAGAAATATGCAGATGGAGAGATCTGCTTAATACCTTTTGGGTTGGTCTTCGCAGGAAAAGACAAAGCTAGAAAAGCAAAATGATTTTTTTCCAGGCAAGCGATGTGGAGAGATATTTGACTTCTCAATATACGAACTTGATTGTTCGTATGAATCATTGCAAGAAGAAAAATGAAGGAGATAAGAATGAGCTTAAGAATATCATTTCATGGTACACGGAAATACGAAGGGTGATGTTGTATTCCATTCAGCTTCTCACAAATTAAGGAGTTCGACTATTATTACAAAGGGGGAGATTGTAAGAGTCAAAGTATGTTGTAATTAGTCGAAGTCTGTCATATATCCCTTCGTATGTTTTATAATGTATTTTACTAAGGTGCTTTTATACGAAGCTTAGTGTCAATGCCTTAGTATTTTTTGTACGCTTTCTGTTTCCTATAAATAGGGGCATTTACTAGAGTTAGATAAGTGTTGCTTTTACAGAAACCTGTCTTTGTAAACATTTGAAAGCGTAATAGAGCTGAAAACAAGATCATATTTACATCCGTTGTTCAATCTTGCATGCTTACATACTCTGATTTGTGACTCACTCGATTCTTTGATTCATCAGTCATCCCTCTTGTGGTTCACACCCAATACAAGCAAGAAGGATATTGAGGAGAGAGGACGGAGGATGTGAGAATTTCTGACTAAGCTCTCTAAGATGTAAGAATTTCTGACTAAGCTCTCTAGCTTCCTAATTATCCTCAAAGGATAATTCTCGATCCCCAAAAGCCTCCCTAAAACCGTCAAAGGCTTTTAGGTAGGTTCTAGAATTCCTCTTGTTCAAGTATTGAGTAATTACACTTTTAACCCTTACACTTTTAAGTAATTATATTAACCACAAAATTAATTCCAATTAATTTCTAATTAAATATTAATTAAATATTACTATTTCTAATTAATATATTATTCTCATAATATATTAATAAATTATTATTTATTTCAATTTATTAATAAAATAATAAATCAACCTTTCTCTCCAAAACATCCTGTCCAATCGCTAGGCTTGAGGGCAACCCAAAAGGATTGTGCTAGTATCAATTCAAGTTCATACCAATTATAGTTATGGGCTTAGACACGTAATCCAATAGTCTCCCACTTAGATAAGTCTGTAACTATAATTATCAATATAACTTCTAAACTGATCAACAAAGTGTAGCTTCCAAAAGCCGTTGTCGAACTCTGACCCAGTCAGTTACGTGTCCTAAGATAAGTGATCATATAATCCTCCATTCTACTAGATATCATTAGGATATGAGACACGGAACAAAATCAGTCTCATTGTCCAATACTTTGTTTCCCGATTTCTGATTTGAAATTACACAAAACTTCCAATCGAACACATTAATTTAGTATTGGTCGAGGCCGACACTATAAGTCAACACCAAATCATCAAGGGGCCCAAAGATATTGCTTTTTCCAATTAGGGAAAAAGGAACGAATAAATTTGAATTATATGCTTGCACTATTTACTCATCAAATCATGCACAATAATACGTTTATAACATCAAGCTACTGATGCATTTTAATATCATCAATCCAAAACCAACTTGTAAACCACAACCCATATATATCCGTTTCAAGATTATAAGATTTTATTCCTTGAGCGTAAGTTAATCCAATACTTAAATCTCCGTTTCAAAGTACTCATGAACATTGCAGAAATACCATTGCTATGTCTAAATCTTTTTAGACAATCTAAAACTCACTTCATAACACTCTTAGTTCACTACTTACTTCCAAAACTATGATCGATTGTGGCCTTTTAAATAATCGAATTGTTTGGGAGGTAAACATGAAAAATGAAACACAAAAATATACAATTGAGAAAAGGTAGTAAACAAACTCATAAATAATTCTCTATTCTATAATCACCAAAAGTTAGTTACACTTACTTTGTTACAAGTTTCAACTAACTATATAACTACTAAAACTAATATCATCTCACAGACCAATGTTCCTAGCATGTTGAATAGTTAGACCCTACTCAGAATCTTTGTGAAGGGATCTGCAAGATTCTCTTATGTTGATACCCTCTTCACTACGAGGTAACCTTCTTTTACTCTATGTCTAATGAAATGGTATTTTCTGCCGATATGTCTTGATCTGACATGATCTCTTGGTTTCCTTTGGCAAGGCAACCTCTTTTTCATTATCAAAGAAAATTTCCATAAGCTCCTTGATGGTTGGCACAAATCCAAGATCTCCAATGAAGTTCTTCAACTATATAGCTTCCTTCGATGCTATAATGACGTAAATTTTCAAACAAAATTTTCATTTTTAAAACACATAAAAATTATATTTATAATTCGTGAAATCATAAGTGTCTCAATGTCAACATAACATCTCAACAAGAGTCAATTCCCAGAATCCTCAACATAATCTCAAACAAGTGTGTATAATCACGCTGGTGCCGTCCCGCGATCCTTTGAGGTACCTGAAACACATAACACATAACACGGTAAGCACGAAGCTTAGTGAGTCCCCCAAAATACCACGCACAAAAACTAGCCACTCGAGGCTATAGCTCTGTAAGACCCTCCGGTCAATGTGTCTTAGTGGGACCCTCCAACCCCACAACTCGTTCGACCCTCCGTTCCAGTCTGGTTGAGAACCCTCCGGTCTCATAGTTCGTTGGACGCTCCGGCCTGGTTTAAGTAACACATAATATAACGTACAATACATATCACACAAACATTCATAACTCAAGAAAGCACATAAGACCCTCTGGTCACACATAGTTACCACTCTAGGTAAAGTATAGTGAGAAGACTCACCTCGAAGTAAGCAAG